TGTCCAATTAATTTCTTTCTATCTTTGGTAGAGATGGGGTCTCGCTCTTGCTCAGGCTGGTCTAGAACTCCTGAGCTCAAACGATCCCCCCGCCTCTGCCTCCCACAGTGCTAGGATTACAGGCGTGAGCCACTGCACCCGGCCAGCATTTACTTTTTTAAAAAATTGCTTTCCTTCATGAATAGACAAGGAACTTCTAATTTTCTGTCAATAGAGCATCGTCTTTATTTTCTTGGAAAAGCAAGAAATTTATACTAACCATATCCACATAACATCCATGCATTTGTGAAAACACTAGCTAAGATCAGGAATTCAGCTTGTCTGTGGAAAAGAATAAATTTAATTGGCCTATCCACAATAAAGGAACATTAGTAAGTCATTAGATACATGTTCTAACTAACCATATGTAATTATTGCAAATATTTCTTTATTTCTCCAGCAATTTATTGAAACTTCAGTTGTATGATTTAAATTATAATTGCAGCATCATTTTCCTAGCTATCCCGCTCTGGCTCTGCTAGATGTAACAAAAAGGGTTTCACTTGTAGAAAAAACCCTTTCCATGGTCCTGTTCCTAGTTCTCTGTCCCTAGTGTTGAGGTGAGTTTATTCTGAATCCCAAGGTAAAACTTGCTGACAGACTTTTCAGCATTTATTAGTATGTGCAAAGAAATGTGAAATGAGATCTGAACAGCTATAGCTCCACTCCTTGGTATATATTGAGAAAAAACTTAAGGACCCTATGTGTTAAGAAAGCAGAGTGACTGAGTTCACTCTAGCAGTATATGTGGATAGACAATAGATATAATTATTCTTCCAATCCCATATAACAGCCAACAAAGTGAAATTGTGAACTAAACTATACCCATTGCATAATAGAATGAAATGTCAGATGTTAATAGTGTGACAGGTACAATATAAAAATATAATACTCCACATTCTTTTTTTTAAATCTAGCTTATGATTGATACACCTACCAGTCCAATTACCAGTGGACTTCCATTATTCTTTGTGATAACAGTAACCGCCATAAAGCAGGTATGAAATACTTTCTATTATTGTTGTTTTCCCCCAAGTCATTCAGAGGTTGCTGAATATACTCCAAAGTAACATTGATTGTTGTGAAAATAATTTCCATAAGAAAGTAGCAAATTTGTTTGATATATGGTAAAATTAAACCGAGACAGCCACTCTATTATATTAATATTTCAGGTACCTAGTGACGCATGAAATGATTACCATTGTTAAAATATATTGTTCCCTCGACATACCTAGAAAGCATCCCCAAATAAGTGTTGTATATGTACAAACAAATTTATATATGAAACTGAGTTTTTATTATAATCATCTTTGTAGAGTTTGGTGATATTTAAAGGAAATACAGTTCAAAAGGGATATATTTATAGGAAGTAGAACATGTACTTCTGGCATGAACATTTGTGAATAAAAATTGTATAGTGCTTTTCTACTTTTTTACAGCTTTCTCTGGTAAAGTTATTTTTTAGGTAAAGTAATACCCTAGGGGAAATATTCAATCAAATCATTGGTTGACATTAAAATCTAGGTATAGAGAAACAGGATTATTGGGTAAACATAACAAATAAGAAATAAAGAAATTCATAGAAATGTCATGTTGGTATAACCACCCCTCCTCAAAAAATCTTGGCAGGGACTCAGTTATATAGGGCTGATTTTGTCTACCTGCAAGAGAGTTAATGAATTTTCTTGTATAAATGTGATAAATTTTCATTTTGTAAGATATAAGGATGAAGTATAAATTGACATGAAAATAAAATTAAAAAACATTTTACAATTCTGGGATGAACTCTGTTCTTTATTACTTACATAAGAAGAGTAAGAGGAGCCTATAGATTAACAATTACATTATGCATTCAATGTGTCAGAATATTAAGCCACAGCTCTCACTAAGTTTGATTTCCCTTTCTTCACTCTTCTCTTAGAGACTAGGTTTGTGTGTTTTAGTCAATAAGCATTCAGATCACTCCATATAATTACATATTTACTTGGTTTTGCAGATGTCATTTATTTCATCAAAGTCACATTTGTCCCTTGGACCTCTTTTCTGTATATATTTTCCTGTTAGGTGATTTTATCCAGTCTATTGGCTTAAAGTACCATCTATATGTTGATGGTTCTCAAATTTATATCTATCTTGAAACTATTCTTTCAACTCCAAACACACAAATACAACTGTTTGCACATTTCCCTTTGGTTATCTCACAAGAATCCTAAATAGAACTCTTGATTTTTTTTTCATCTAAAACTGTACTACTCTTACTTTTCCCGGTTTATTGGATGGCACTACCTGTCCACCCACCATGAAACTTGGCATCATCATCCTTTGACTGTTGCCATGTTTCAACTTTCCCTTCTTCTCTTCTCCCCTTTTGTCTGCCTTTGCCCTTTGTACTGTATCAAAATAAGAAAAGGCTCTATTATCAATTACTTGTACTTTAATATGAATGAGATTGTCAGTTCTTTGTTTTTAACTTCTCCCAGTCACATTTACATATTAAGTCTTCTCTGCAATTGTGTAATGCAAATATAGTGCTCTGGTAAATAGTCTTTGCCCTCCATGAGCCTAAAACCTATGAAGCAGGAAAGACAAAATATAAAAATAATTATAGTTCAATAGAATAGTAGTGAGATCCAGTTAGGGGTAGAACACGTGATCAGGAAAGATGTCGTGGAGGAAATACTAAGATGAGTCTTGGACCATGGATAAAACGACAATTGATGAAGAAGGTAAGGTAGAAACGAACAAGTTGGGCAAAGGCCCAAATGAATAAAAGGGTAAGACCTCTTTTGGGGAATTATAAGTCTAACTAATGTTTGGCCCTGTTTAGGAAAGTACTAAGAGATCATACTAGAAGTGTAGGTTGGTTCTAAATTAAGGAAACTGGAAGATTCTTTGCAGTAAGCATCGAGAGTCATTGAAGGGGAACTTTGAGCAGGATAGTGAATTAAAACAATCTTTCAGGAAGATTAAACTGGTAGTAATATGTAGGCTGCATTAGAATTTGTGAACTTGTGTAAAAAAAGGAAAGTGAATTATTGCTCTGCTATTAATGTCATCTGACTATAAAAGAAAGTGTGCTTCTGAGAATTTCAGAACCGATGTTTTGACTCTCAATTAAATTTTTCTGAAATGACATATTACAGCTTAAATGGGGCCAACATAATTTAGGTATCTTAAGAGTGCTTTCCAAAAAGGTTTCCCCCTGAAAAAAATAGAACTTTAAAAGAATCTTTAATATTTTGCTTTTTATTTTATGGTGTTTTAATATTTTTAAAGTAATAGATATTTTTAAAATTGGAAACATTATAAAATAGCATAGAATTAAAGTCTGTCTTATACATCTAACCCCCAGTTTCCTAGTTCTCCTCGTGAGGGAGCAGTTATTTGTAAATTAGTCCAGATATCTATACAAAGTGTTCACATAGGCAAGCATATTTTTTCACAAATGGTAGCATAGAACACAATCTATTCTGTACCTTACTTTTTATCATTTGATACTATCTCTTAGATATCATTCCATTATCTATACTTACACTGTACCTCTGAGTCATTAAATTTTCATAAAACAGCACAGAAAGTCTTTTTCACTTTAAAAAATCACCACTCCTTAACATTTAATTACAGGATTCTTGTGAAATGATTACATTTGTTTCCCTCTTTAATGATGATCAATATAGACTACCATATTTTTGTAAGTGCAATTGACCCTTGAACAACATGGGGTTGGGGAAAATGACACCCCAGCATCGAAAATCCATGTATAACTTTAGACTCCCCCAAAACTTCACTAATAGTGTACTATTTTATCTATTTTATTTATTTATATTTTTTTAGAGACAGAGTCTTGTTACATCATCCAGGATGAAGTACAGTGGCATGACTCCATCTTACTGCAACCTCTAACTCCCAGGCTCAAGCAGTCCTGCCACCTTAGCCTCCCAAGTAGCTAGGACTAGAGGTGTACGCCACCTTGTCAGGCTACTTTTTAAAATTTTTTTTGGAGAGATGGGGTCTCGCTATGTTGCCCAGGCTGGTCTCAAAATCCTGGCCTCAAGTGAGCCTCCTGTCTCAGCCTCCCAAAGCACTAGGATTACAGGCATAAGCAACTGCACCTGGCCTAATTGCATACTGTTGACCAGAAGTCTTACTGATA